ACTGCGCGCAGAGACTGTCGGTCGATTGAGCTGAAAGAAAAACTAAACAACTTTTGTTAAAAATGCACCGACTAGGAGATACCTCTTCTATTGCGAATGCGAATCACCATGAAATTTCCCTTATGCATGCACACACATAACACAAGAGTCGTCAGCTAATGTGGTGATGGATAGTACGCACGAACCATACATAGAGTATATACAGCTATATAGACTTTCTGAGGCTAGCCACGCCTCCTTCTGCTTGTTACATCACAAAACAATGTGCAAAAACCAATACACCCTGAATTGCTATTTCTAATAGGTTGCCAATCTATATCATAACAATAGACATAGTCAAAAGTTTCTAACTAGGAGACTCTGGGAGTCCTGCGCTAGGCTGTTATTCCCATTATTCGAAGAGTCTTTTCTAATCCGTATATGGATACAAGCCTCCGTCTATTGTAGGTCCATACGTAGTCCATATGCAGACTTACAGATGGCCACACGAATACGATTTAGCTATATGCCTATATATATATGTGTGTTCATATTTTCAATAAGTTCGGGACTATATATACCAAATAGGTCTACTGTGCCGTACGCTGGACAGCACTACCATCATTCTACGAATATTTTCTAAGCGAATCATGGGTACTAGACAGCATCTATGGTAGGTATGGTAGACGACATCCAGATGTATAGATGGGTAGACGACGAAGCAACTATTCAGAGCGATATCGAATTACCTTTGACTGATCAAGAATATATCTACTTCAAGCGGTCTGTTTTGCCAGCTGCTCATTCTTCTTAACAAGATCAATATACCCTTTACTCCCATTGGCAATGGGCTGATTGGGTATATAATATCACAAGTCCTTCACCTTTGCCAGCATCTGCTGAAAGATCAACTTTCGATCATGCTGGCATACCTTATACCATATATAGAGCAACTCACTCGATAGAATCTGGCGCTAAGGACTCTCAAGGCACCGTCGTTATAGCCGGAAGACGCGATAACCATATAAATTTACTTATATAAGTTTATCTAGGGGCTAAAATTTTCATCCCAATAACCGTACGGCTACTATGAGCAGAGTTTTCATAACCGGATTCTACTGTACATGTATCCATGCAGTTGTCGCTTCGCCTTGGTGCACACTGTACAGTAAACTTTACACACTTAAGCATGAATTCGATCAATTTCGTCTAAGGCAAATTTCATTGCTGACATTTTATGCACAATATAATATATATTATTGTTTGCTTCTTCTTCTTCTTTTTATATTTTGATGGTGGCATAAATCGTATTTTGAAACTGTTTTCGAAGAGCATTCTCTCTGAGATTGAGTTGAACGCCAAGGCGACAGAGTGGCAGGGGTTGAGAGGAGGTAGGGATACTTGATGGGGGTGGTGTTACATATATATGGGGAGGGGGGGCGGCGACGACTTTTGCGCCCCTTGTGAATGCTCTGCATTAACATATACCATAAATCTCTCACACTCGACGAGCCGTCGCCGTCGCCGTCGCCGCTGCTGTTGTTGTTGTTGTTTTTCTGCTTTTCTCTTCTGCTTTTATACACATTTTATGATCGCATGAGTAACATATATCGATTTATGCAACTGTGTGGGTGTGTGCGTGCATGTGTGTCACTCGGTGGGTGTATGCCAAAAATCACAGCATACTTTGAGGGGCGGCCGGCCTGAGAGAGAACAGCCCCCGCTCAGAATAATCGAAAATATTTTCACATAAATGCCGAAATGAAGCTGGTGACAGCGTGTATGTGCATGTGTGTGTGTGTGTGTGTGTGTGTGTAACGTCTAATGAATTCATGTTGCTAGCAGCGACGCCAGCAGAGCAGCTGCCGCTAAAATGTTTACATTTAGTTAAACGCAAACTTAGCGATTGTGCGTCTGTGTGTATGTGTGTGTGCATGTGTGCGTGTTTGTGTATTTTAAGCATATGCTGGCAAATGCAAATTGCTGTCAAACTCAGCTTAAGTGGGCGGCAGCGTGTGGGCGTTGCCTGGTTTGCAAATGCAGCTGTTTGAATTGTTTCATATTTTGATTAATTTCAGCAGCTGCTTCTTCTTCTTCTGCTTCTGCTTCTGCTTCTGTTTCTGCTCGTTTGTTGTTTGCCAGTTGAAGTAATTGCGTAATGCACTCATCTGTGTGCGTGCGTGTGTGTGTGTGTGTGTGTGTATTTAAGTACATAATCGACAAACACACGCACACACACACACACATGCAGAGCAATTAAGCAAATAAAGCGCTATAAGGCAAAAACTAAATGAATTAAACGATACAAACGCGAGGGCTTAGCCAAGGAGGGGCGTACGACGGGGCGTGGCTGTGTTGCAACACTTATAAGCCAACTGACAGATATGTATATGCATGTATATACATATAAAAAATATACATATATACAATATCTGTGCCTGAGTGTGCGCCTGTGTGTGTGTGTCTGTGTGTGGGTGTGTGTGTGTGTGTGTGTGTGTCTGTGTGTGCGAATATCTCTCTTACTCTAACGCTCTAGTGCGCTTCATGCTCATAAAATACGAGATAATAAAAAGTGAATTATGAGCCCGCGAGCAGCGACGGCTACAAAAAAGCTGAAAAAATAGCAAACAGCAGCTAGGTTGCAGCAGCGGCTATAGACGACTAACCAAATACCCTGTACAAATTATGTCAACTCTGTGAAAGCTGTGGAAATTCGCTTTGCAGTTGAGGATTTCATTGAAATCGAAATGTTCTTAAGTGAAGCGGCTTGATTGATTGATTATTTTTTGCCAAACGAGCTTTTTAGCTTCTCTGTAAGAGTAGTTCTTGATCATAAGGGAGATATTTGCGCTTGAGATCTGTAAATTATTTATCAGAACTGACTCGAATTCATTATATAGTCATCCATAGCTATCAGATCTTAACCGTTTGAAATACTTTTGATCTTTAAAGAACATGGCACAAATTTCGTATGAGACCTCCTAAAGCTTTCAAGCAATAGTAGCTCATGAAAGTATCTTTCCGTTAATGCTAAGAAGCTTTATTTAGCAACTCAATCGTTTGCAGGGTATTGCAGCTATAGCAACAACAGCAACAACAACAACAACAACAGCAGCAGAAACAGCAGCGAGGAGCAAAAAAGAAAACATTTAATTGCGATTGTTTGTTTTCCTGCTAGTTTTTATTTGCACTTTAATTATGAAAAATATGAAACGCAGCACCAACTGCAGCGGCAACTAATTTTTACAAGTTGCAGTTAAAGTTAACAGCTGACAGTGGGGTGGGCGGTGGCGGGGGTGCGGCAGGCATGGCACAGCCAGAAGACAGAAGAAGCAGTTTAAGTTATGAGCAATTTATAAGAGCGCAGAAACAGAAACTCAGTCGTAAAGTAGCGAAAGCCAAGTGCATCAAGTGAGTGAATTTGGGTTAATTGATTTGCATTCGATTAAATGGGTCGCAGGATAGCTCGCACGAGCATTGTACCCTGTAAGAGAAGGTTTTCCAGCTGACTTTTTGGCTAGCTGACAGTGTGATTGACAGATGAGGCTGATCGGATATGATTTTGTGACTTTATTTGTTAGCTAAATGGCTAGGACTAGGAAATGACTGACTGATTGATTGATTGACTGTTTAATTGACCCGCCATTTGCCAATTGACAGACTTGACTGATGGCACGCACATTGACTGATAGACTAAGATTCAAGAGATTGATTGATACACTCTGCTGATTGATTGACTGACTGATTGATCCGCCATTTGCCAACTGACAGACTTCACAGACTTGACTGATGACACATTTACTTTTAGACTTAATATACTGAAAGATTCAAGAGATTGATTGATACACTCTGCTGATTGATTGATTGATTACTTGACTGAATCTTTTCAGTGACAGCTCGGCTGCTTAAATGACTTAGCTGTTTACTCTTTAAACTCAGTGATTAGTTAGTTTATTATTTGATTGTCCGATAGATTGATTGACTAATTGACTGATTGATTGATAGACAGAAACGGCAGCTAGTGTGGGCGAACTGATTGACCCGCAGACTAATGACTAAATGTTGCATTGCCAGACATCTAACTGTTAGTCATCAGATTGATGATTGAAAGAATTCACTGATTGAATGCAATCGCTTGATTCTGATTAACAAACGTACTAGCTTGACTGCTGACTGATTGTTCATTGATTGATTGACAGACCTATTAGCTCGAATGCTGCCTGAATGAATGACCATATAAGTTAAGTAAATAAGAGTGACTAATGATTTGATTGACTGATTGAGTGATTGATTCTTTTGACAAACTTGTCCGGCGGAATGATTGACTTACTGCCTGCAGCTTGATTGACTAACAGATAACCGACTGTAGATTGACTGAATCGAATGCTGATTGAATGGTTGATCAACTTACTTCTCACTGATCAATGATTGAGTGATTCATCGATGGATTGTTTTCAACCACTCAACGAAAGGATGATTGGGCCCGACTTGGCCTGACTGCTCACCAGCTAACTAATGATTGACTTTACTAATGGGCAAATGAATTGACACAAATCGATTGATTCAACTTCATTCAGCTAAATTGGATATATTTATTCATTATCGGGTCAAGTCTTTATATGGAAAATATTACAAAAAATCGCATCTCATAGGAATTACATAATTTCAATCAAAATTTAAACATTCTTGTGTTGTTCTTCATGAAAAGTTTTTGCTGGAACACAAGGTGGCCAAGAGAGAGAACAAAATGTTTTGTTTAAAAAACGCGTCAATTTGCTAAAAGTTGCAGAAATACGAGGCATCTGGAAAGTATATGACGTAACGTCGGATTAACAGCGCCTTGAAATCGAATGGTAATTCCGAAAATGCCATCTATATCGAAATGGAGTGGGTCTTTGGGTGTTTGTTCGCTGAATGGATGCAGTCATAGTATTTAGTTGAAGGTCGATTTGATTAATTGTTTGACAGCTCAAGGGATTGATTGCTGAAGTGAGTAAGGAATAGATTGTTAGTCGTTGTTAAGCTATTGGGAGATTGCTTGCTGGTTGCATTAGCCGAGAGTTGGGAACTCGGCTTCGTCATTCATATTGATCGGATCGGAGTCGCTCTTGGCCGCGTTCTTGTTCAGCGAACGTCCGCCCCCCCAGCCGCTGAGATAGCCGCTGCGACGACGATCGTCCTTGAACTTGAACTCAATGTTCATGATGCGTCGCAGGCGGCCGGCGCGCTGCGGATACGTGGTTGCCTCGTACTCCACGGTCATATCGGAGTCCGACTTGGCTGGCTTCTTCTTTGGCAAGACAATCATTTTCTGCCAGTCCGGCTTGGCGACCTCCCCCTCGCCGGGCTTGCGTATGTTGTAGGTGGGCTTGGTGCGCTCAACGCACATGGCGCGCCACTCCTCGACAGTTATGTACTTGGTGGTGTCCTCCTCATTGGAATTGTCGCCCGCCTGCTGTGGCGACTGCAGCTGCGAGGACGACTGCTGCTGCTGCTGCTGCTCGTTGAACGAATCATCCTTGTCTAACAATATGTTTGGATTCTTCATGGCAATGCTCTGCTCCTCGATGTCCTTGATGACCGAGCCCCAGTTGTGGGCGCCGCCCCCGTTGCGCTTGACCACCGCCTTGATGCCCGTCTTATCGGAGCCCGAACGACGATCGAACTTGCTCTTATAGAGCCGGCCGTAGCCGCCGTTCTTGTTGCTGTTATTGATGATGCGACTGAACACGGTGCGCTCCCTATAATGACGCTGCGGCTGTGGCTGCGGCTGCGGCGGCGGCTCCAGATCCAATGGCTGCACCTTGGATGATTGCTGCAACGGTTGCTTCTGCTGCTTCAGCTGCTGTGGCTGCTCTCGTTCTTGCTGTGGCTGTGGCTGCTGCTGTGGCTGCTGCTGCTGTGGCTGCTGCTGTGGCTGCTGCTGCGGTGGCTGCTCTCGTTCTTGCTGCTGCTGTGGCTGCTGCTGTGGCTGCTGTTGGGGCTGCTGCTGTGGCTGCTGCTGTGGCTGCTGCTGTTGGGGCTGCATGTCGGACTTCTTCGACTCTAGCTTCGGTCCGCCGTCAGCCATCGAGGTGCCATTGGCCTTGAGGTCCTCCTTGAGGCCCCGCTCGCCCTTGCCATTGCGCTTGGCCTTGCCCTGGTTGGCTGCCTTCTTGCCCAGCACCAGCGACTTGATCTTCCTGCACTTGAGCTTCGAGCTGTTGTCCAACAGCTGCAGCTTCTTTTGGCCGACGCACAGATCGCTGGCCTCGTCATCGATGAACAGCAGCTGATAGCGATTGTTCCCAAAATAATCCATTTTTACCGACGAAAATTTACTTTTTTTTTCACAATAATTATTCTCGCACGCAAGCTAACACAATCGTATCAAACTAAACTGTACAGCTCAATTGATTCTCTCCCAAAAAGTGAACGTGCTTTGACATTTCAATATTAATTTCTCTCGGGCTACTAGCTCAATCGAAAATTTTACAAAGGCATTTACTCATACGTCAAATGGGAGCGCTATTTTGTGAAGTGACAGGAAAATCAAAAGTGGCAAGAAATGGGATATTTTTTGTTGCATTTATTTTCTAGCTATAGCCATACTATTTTTAATGGAATGGAACGTTACTCTAAAGACAGCTGAAGAGCGCCAGGATAGTGGATAGCTCGTAGGGCATTTAGCATGAGTGTGGATTGGATGCAGGAAAAGGTTGCTTTTCGCCCATCGGAAAAATGTTTGTGCAGAGAGTGATCCCCGTTCAGGCAATCCAATATAAGATCTTGCGAAGATCATAAATTATTTACAAAGATCAAATACCCTATTCAGTCTTCGGGATAACGAGCAGCTCAACATAAATCATATCAGCACGATATATATGGGTGCTACATAGATCGCTGAAGATCACTCAGTTATAGAGCAAAGTATTTTGTGCTGTTAAACTGAGAACTTACATGATGGAGATGCCAGGAGAACTGATCCCTCTGCAGGAGACTCAAATGACTTCCAACTGCAGCCACAACATTTCCATTACCCATTTATAGCTACTGCCGTGGCACAGTTCACGATCAAACTTCTGATTGGCATGGCAAAGAAACTCTAGGCTCAATCTTCCCCGGTTACCCCCTAGAATATCCTTGTCGTATTCAGCTAGATGAGCTCAGCTCAGACTATTCCCATATCTCATATCTGTGACGTGTAATCCTCCAGCTTTAAGGCTGCTGCTAATAACTTGATGCGCACCTACAGAGCAGAGCTCAGACCGCAGACTTGGCAGGTTTTTTTCTTCTCTTATGTTTTGCTCTGTTTTGTTGTTAATGTTAACTCTTGGCTATTTATTTTCTGCTCCCGCTTCCTACTTGGCTGCATTAAATTGAACAACTGCTGCCGTCGAGCAGCAACAAAAGCAAAGTCTATGTGCGGAGGATAAAAAAATGTCTGTAAACTTTTTTGCGCGAGCCCCGCAATTTTCTCTCTAATTAAAACGGGTAGCACACGTTGGCTGTCAGTGGCAACGGCCACGAATTGAAGGTGCTGTGCCAGTGTGTGTGTGCCAGTGTGTGTGTGTGTGTGTTGACTGAATTGCAAATTAAATGCGAGAAATGCAGCAAGGAAAAAGCTTGTTAAGCAACAAAAATCTCTGGTACTTTCTCTCTCTCTCTCTCTCTTTCTCTCTCTCTCTCTCTGACTCTCTTTCTCTCACTCTCTATTCCCCTTTTCTCTCACTCTCTTCCACTTCCCATCTCTTTGGCGTTATCAATAATGGCAATTAGTAAGCACTTGACATGCAGCACTAAGAAAGTAGCTTGTAAAGTCTTAGACATGCATGTTAAAACGCACAGCGTTGCCAGACAGCAGCTGAAAAAAAAGATGAATGAGGCGGCAAGTGGTAAGTGGCAAGAGGTAGAATATTTGTGCTTGTTAAAATTGATTGCCTGTTGGAGCGAAATCAAGCGAGAGCCTACAAAAGCGAGTACAACCGACTCAACAATACCCGTTCACTCATGTAATAAAGATATCTTGCGATTGGCCAAACTCCAATTGGTAGAAGAGAATTGGTAGAGAGAGTGCCACAGACACTGCCCAAAGCCGAATACACTCTTTTCACATTGCAGAACGAGTATCAAACAGAAAGAGGAGGTGAAGCAGAGCACAGCAAAGCAGCTCACACACTTTTCAACAGCAACAACAAATGGCAACTGTTTGCTTAGAGGCTACCTTTTGGGCTGCTAGCATTGATTTATATTTGTATTGACACTTAAAGGATGTCCCAGCCCCAGCCCGAGTCCCAAGCCCAGCCCACGTTCGTCTCTTTGTCTCGTCTGTCCATTGTACCGCCGTCCTCTGTCTGTTTGCCAAGCGCACAAATTTGTCCCTGTCATTGTTTTACAAGCCCAAAAGGGAGCCCAGCACAAAGCACCACAGACAAAGACGAAAACGAAGACGGAGACGAGCAACTCTTTCAGTTAAAAGCACAAAATGTATCGATTAAAAACAAAAACAAAAACAAATGCAAAAACAAATGCAAAAACAAGATATCAGAGCGCAGCCACGACTAGCCGAGGCGTGAATACACTGGGCAAAGTGGGTAAACAAACATAACGGTTAACCGGTTCGGTTCGCAAATAAAACAATTGAAGTCTGAAATATAATGAAATCAAATCCGAGCTGAAATGAATTTGTAATCACCCAATGGGTGTGGTTCAGACCAAAAGCTATTGCAATTCTCAGAAAAAAAACAAGATCGAGCCAATTTTCATAATAATACAGTAGAATCCGGCTATAATGACCCTCGAGCGACTGTTGTTGTACGCGAAGGACGCTATAAACGTTTAAGGTTACGTTGTCTGGGGACCAGAATTGTCGTCGCATATAACCGGATTTTACTGTTCATATAGAAGAACTGGTTTCAATGCGCTAGACAGCCAAATAAAGAAATGACAATCAATCAAATTCAACCGGTAAAGGGGCTTATGTATATTATATTTTCACTGAATTGACTTGAAATTGTGGAAATGCGGATGTACAGGAGACAACTATTCGAGGCTTAGTTCAGAGCAGAGACTCGGTTCAAATTGCGAATCTATGGCCCAGCTGAATTTCTTCTAATATACGACTTAGGTTTCGTTAATTGCGCGATAAAACAACTGTATAACACATACAGAGATCTGAATTGTCAGGCTCAAGATGAGCTGCAGAGAGTTAGAGGCGGTGGCTATAAAAGAGCCTCTCTTCATATAAAATATCATCGGTCATGCGTTACATACTGTCTAAGAAACTCATCATACCCTATGGCAGCGTATAAAAAGATTTGCCTTTGAGTTTGGCAGGCAACAAATGTGAAGTGACACTTGCAAAGCAGACAAACAAACAGATAGACAGACAGACAAACAGACAGACGAACAGACAGACGAACAGGCTGACAGGTGAACAGACATGAAATATTGAAAAAAAAAAAAGAAAACATTTTGTGACTTGGCCGACAAATTGAGAGGGAGTTTGCTTAGCTGCATTTACATGCGCAAATCAGACTCGAATTAACACTGATGAGGGGCGCAGCCAAATGCTATATATTCAGGAGCCATTGCTGAGTTCTCGAGTGGAAAGTAGAGATGAAAAATAAGGGTTTTCATTAGGTTCAAATGAAGCTGAAGTTGTGCTATGATAGAGTTTATAAGAGAGTGGGTAGCGTCTGTTCAAAGCAGACTTTGTTGTCCATATTCTAAGCTATCCCAAAGTTATCCAGGGATATTCGCTGATTGTCAAATAGATTTGATTGTCAAGGTGAATAGATACCAAGATTGATCGCATTGAACATGATCCACTGAATATGCAGGAGCGCTGCTATATAGTTTATATTGAAACTCAGCCATAGATGACTATAGCTAAACTGAATAGTTGTAGAATATGATTATAATTCATGAATAGCTAAACTGAATAGCTGTAGAATATGATTATAATACATGGAACGCTGCTCCAATGGAGATTATCTTCTTAAAATGCGCATAGAGTACATTTTACATATTACATCGTATTTTTATATTGGAATTAATGTATTCATTCATATATCCATAAGCTGAACATAATAATGAGCAGTAAGAAAACTCTGATATAGATATCCATAACATAATTAAGTAATTATAGGCAAAAATTTTGAGCTGAACTTTGAACTCAACAACCTAACTATGGTTCACTAATGTTTAGTTACTCTTGATTATAACATACATATGTATATACACACATACATACCTAGATACATACATACACATGCATGCATACATAAATTCATAGATACATAGATACATGCATACATACATACACATGCATACATACATAGGCACATGCATACATCCATGCATACATACATATATACATACATACATACATACACATGCATGCATACATACATACAACATACATACATACACATGCATATATACATACACATGCATACATACATACATATTTACATACATACATACATATAGAAGTCTCTGCTCTCAAAGTGATCTTGAAGGTATGCGAGTCCCAGCATCAGAGCAGTGACACACACACTCAACTAAAGTGGGCCTGGAATAGAGATTGCCCATGTCCATGTGGGGAAGAGAGAAGAGCAAACAGAATTCTGAATATTTGAAAGTTTTCATTGTGAAATAGTTGTTGGCAACTGTTTGGTGGGTAAATTTCATTTTCATTTCAATTTGGCAATGGAACGGAGGGAGAACTGATTAAAGCACAATGCACAAGTGCCTCGAGTGGAGCACAAATACATATTTGATAAGCAGGAATCGAACTCGAAGCTCATTTGCTTAAGCCAAAAGCAAACGAGAATCGGAATTGAGCCGAGGAGCTGAGCTGAGATGGAGGCGGATTGAGAGTTGCCAGGGTCATCCGGATGTGGCAAAGAGAATGATGTGGAGCTGCAGCTGGATGTGGAGTTTTGTGTGATTAAAAATACATTTTTAATTATTCACAGGCAGCAAAACAAAAACAAAGCTTCAAATTGCAAATTAAATTCGATGCTTTGAATTGTAATTTTGATTTGATTCGATTCGATTCGATTTGATTGAAACGAAATTCCAGTTGATATTCAAATTATTTACAGCCGCAATCGAAAGCATTATTTATTTGTGTAACTGATGAAGGGCGTGCGAGCGAGACGGCCAATAGGCAGACAGCCAGCTGTGGCGGTGGCTGAGGTTGAGCAGCGTCTTCTTCTTCTTCTTCTTCTTCATCATCATCATCCTCCTCTTCGTCTTCTAATTTTTACAACAATTTTAGAACTTAATCCTTGAGCAGCAGCTGCTCGGGGCCAA